CAACCATAACACATTCTAAAATAGACTGTTGCTAATCTATAATTCAATACCTAGCCAAAATGTCAGAGAAGAGTAAAGATTGGAGGGTGTACTGGGTATTGAAGCCAGAGTCTTGGCACTGAGCTACAGGCTGAGGTCTAACGCGTGATCCTCCTGCCTCAGCCTCCCAAGTAGCAGGGATTATAGATATAGACCAGCATGCCCAACCCATGTTCACTCTCATGGACCCTGGTTGAAGCTATTTTAAGGCACACAAAATTGTCATAAAATTTTTCTTACATGTACTTCCTCAGAAAGCTAAAGGAGTATGTGCTCCACTAGAATAAGAGAGTAAGCCAAAAATGAGAAACACACAAGATTCATAAAATGAGTTTTCTACAAGGAAAACATGATCTCTGACATGAAGTTGTAGAGGTCCCTGAATATTTTGGAAGCAGCCACCCTTGATTAGAACAGGTTAGAGAACAGTGAGACACTATATCAAAAAGCTGAAGTAGATAGCACCTCCAATTCATCTGAGGAACTATAGGAAACATGCGGAATCTGGAGCTGGACTTGTGATAAGAACAAGGAAAATTAAGCAAATGGGAACCCTGGAAGCAAAGAGTGAATAGCAGGGCATGTAAATGGGTTTAATAAGAGATACTGATGAAAGGGAAGTAAGATTCAAGTAGACAAGAAGAGTAAGTTTTGCTGAGATTGACTCTACAGCGTGATCACTGAAGGTTATAATATATGGTATGTTTCAAAACCCCTGACAGTAAATTTCAAATATTCTCACCACAAAGAACAAGGCAATTTGAGGTAGTGAATATTTTAATTCACTTCCATAAATCATCCCACAAGGTATAAATACAATAAATTACTTTGTACCCATAAGCATGTATATTATCATTTGTCAATTCACAATAAAATAAGAAAAGAAACCTAACCAAAAGGGGGAGAAAAGTAAAGGAAGAAAAAAAAGCAATTGTAATATAATGTATAGTTTAGGATGAATAACATTAAGAGGCATCATAATATAAAAGTCTTCTTTTGATCTAACCACAACTTTGAAATATCTCTACTGGTAGTAGAACAGGTAAAAAAATACAAATCTCCAAGGTGAGAGTAAAAGTGACAGAAAAGATCTAAAATTTTTTAATTACAAAGTAACTGCTTAACTGTTTAACAAATTGATGAAAAATACTAAGAGAATTACCTGTAAATTGTGAGTTCTGGGAAGGGTAAACAGTAAATGGGGAAGTGAGAAATTGATTTTTCATTAATGACATAGGATTTTTTAACTTCATAGATTTTTTTAATCTAGGGTATTGCCAAAATTTTAGTGGGAGGATCATTTTATTTATGGTATTTTTCAAAATTGTATTGATTCTGTTACATGCCCTTGATTAGACTACGGTCTGGTTCAGTTTAAGTATAAGAAAAAAACTGCAGAAAGATTCAAAGACTTGTTGAAGGTCACTGCATAAAACTAAGCCCAAAAGATAAACAGTGCAGGCTAAGCTTAATCTCTCTAAGTGCTTCTTCTGTTTTCTCCAGCTGTGAAATATATTTATGACTCTTGACTCCTTTATTTGTTCACTTTTGAATTCCAAGCAAGACATACCTTTAAAGCAAGCAATTACCAGAAATAACCGTCTTGAGTGTTATCAAATGACTTAAATTTTCTTGAAAAAATGTAACATATTTCTTTAAATGCAGTCACAAGCAGCTTAACATGTTCTGTCTAGTCTGAATATGTATCAGTCTAGAAACAAGTGATTGTGGGTATGGAATGAATCGGTATTTTCTAGTGCGTGTATCATCTGCACACATCACATTGCTCAAACTTAACCCACTGACTTTAAGTCATGTGATTATTTTGTGATTTAACTTCACCCAACTGAATATGGATCAGGCTGCCCAGAGCACTGCTAGGCCGCTTACCTGAGATGCCAAGGCATGAGGGAATCACGAGTTAATATCAGTGTTATGAAAGGAAACTGCAAATAGGATAACAAACCTAATAATGCGTTTCCCAAGGCTGAAAAGGTAAAAGATGCGATTATTTAAGGAGACCATGGGTTTTGATGAAATGATTCTCTCTGTTCCTCTAGGTTAACCTGCCCAAGTAAGGGGGTGGGTAATAGGGCATAACTGTCTTCCCAGGACTCCCCCATGCAGAGTGGGTAGTACTTCAGCACTCCTAGATGGGCCCAATACTATCCACTCCCCACACTGCTGCCAATTAGCGTGGTAAAACTTGACTTTTCTCTGAGTACAGTCAAGAGCATATGTACTATAGCTCTCTACCTGTAGCTTCTGCGAAGGTTCTTAATCTGCTCACACATCTATTTCAAGGGCCTTCCACACTCCCTTTTTACTGTAGGTAGCAGGACCAACTGACTTCTCTCTTCCCAAGGAAGTAAAGTATTGCTTTGCCATTTCCATACTCTCATTTCTTCCTTGTACAGAGTAGAATCTGCACTTTATTTCCCAGCTCCTCCCCTTGGAAGAAGGGTAACCATTCCATTGGTTCTCATCACCAGGGAAGCCCTCCTAAATAAGATGGTGTCACCCTCCCTCTCATAGACCGAGGGGTCCTCACGCAGAGGGACTCCCCTCTACTTCCTGTTTCTCCCAGTTTCTTCTCTCAGAATGAGTGCTAAGGTTAGTATAAGAGGTGCTCTGTGATCAGAAAGTGTTATGATTGTTCACTGACCTACAACGTCTCAGCCTGAAACATGGTAGATGTACAGGGTCAGCTCTGACGTGGCAGCCTTGCTGTCTCCTGTCCAAGGAGAAGGGCTAGGAAACTTCACTTTGCATAGTCCCCACACTAGGAAGTTTTATACTTGATAAAGCTGATACTTTGCCCAAACTGGTTCAGTTCTTTCTGTATATGCTTTATTCATCAGAACCCCTGGGGCAAGAAGGGGGTGGAGTACGAAGGGTAAAATTCCAGCCCTGAACCCCACCCTGGACTGCCAACAATTACTGTAAGATTAAGATATGCTGAGGGCCAAATCAGTTCCTGAAGGAAAACTTCCAGCCGAAGCCTGCCATAACTCAGTTAACCTGTAAGGCAAATATTAGTTCACTCCCCAAAACAGCATTAAAAAGTGGCTCCACTGTGTTTGCCTGGTGCTGGTTTCACTAGTGTGCCCTGGGGATTTCAGACAATGCAGTGGTGCTAAAGTAGCAACTGGAATCTTTTATGCAGTCGGCTGGACTCCGGCTCTGTTCTGGCATCCAGCCCAGTATATCAAAATTGTGGTTTTTCAGCCCATTTTGGAAGCTGCTTCACTAAGCCATGTGACAACCCCAAAAGTTGGTCTGGCACCAGAAGACTTCATCATATTGGGAACTTGAGAGTCCTCCAGTCGCTGGCTTTGTATTGATGCCTCCCTGCCCATAATCATTAACAGAAGGTGAGAGGGCTGCACTGGAACACACCTTACACCTACCATGTAGTTTGTGTTTATGCTTCTGAGGCCTCATAACTCTGCAGGCTCTATGTACTTGCCTGCTCAAATAAAAGCTGTCTCTGGGAAAATCATTGGCAAGTGTCTGAGTTATTAGTAAAGCTCAACAAACTTACCTGGGAGGGCAAGAGGCATGGTGGCTACAGATTTATCAGGAAGATTTAAGAGTATCAGTTTATTAATTGATTTTAGCACTAGCAGCAACCCAAGCTATGGAGACTTTAGAGGTAGCCATCTGGCATTGCCCTTGGATAAATCATATGGTGCATTTGAAAGTAGTGTCATCGGTATGAGGATTTCCAATTGAAAAATGACAAGTTAGTAGATTATGTCGGTGCTGACAACTCCTAGTTCAGTGCTTCATTGATTCCACTGCTTCTGTGAGAGATCTCTTGCCTTTTAGAACAGCTGCACAGCCAGTGCCTCTTGTGTACTCAGCCCTATGGTAGGTGACGGGAGTTGCAAAAGACGTCAAACTACTTTATTTAAAGATGTTTATAATTTAATTGGTGAATAAAGTCAAGGCATATGAGACCATTATAAAGCAGAAATATATTCAGTAATGAATTTTGTAGTAAGGACCTTGGGTGATGGAGGAATTGGGCTGAGCAGGACTTAAACACGGCACGGTAAACTAGTGAGGTGCTCCGTATGATCTAGAGACTGGGTGGGTAAGTTTGGACAAGTAGAAAGGAGAGAAGACAAAGTTCTGGACTGGCAGCAGTGTTCCTCAAAAACTTGGAATTTAAATATGAGGGCCCTGTCCATGGAATAGGAAAAATGAAATTGGGCTGCTTAGAGAAAATGAGTATAGAGAAATGGAGTGAATATAATCAGAAATGAATGCTATCGAGTAACAAATAATGGATGAAGGACTTTAGAAGTCAAACCAAGGATCTTAAAACCAATGTAGGAATAAATTTTAAAAAAAATATTTCCATCAGGAAAATGAAAATATTAAGTTCAAGTTTCAATGTGATTTACTTCAGTATAAAGATTGAGATGATTAAACACCAAATGTTAGTTGTTGCTTGGCCAGACTTACCAAAACCTACTTTAACAACTCCCCATGCATGAGGCAGTAACCGGCGCTTAAATTTACCAGATGATAACCTAGAATAGGAAGCAGTATCAGCATTCCCTGATTTGTGACTGGCATGTGTTGGCTGAGGGACAGTTAAAACATCACAACATTAATTGTAATTACGTAGACCTACCAGTAGAATAAGGGAGATATAGTCAATTCAAAACGACCTTTCCCTGGATGTTTTGGTTGCTCTATTTCAGTAAAAACCTCCAAGGAAAGCAATTTGTTTTTCTGTTTTATAGGTGGCCCAGGGATTACTCTGTAACTATTACTCTAAAAACGTAAACTTCAAATTTTTGAAGTTGTTTTCTTAATACCTTATTAAAGGTGGTAATAATTCACTAATTGATGAAGTTACTTTACTTTGAAAAACTCAGAAAATTTTGTTTAAAGGGGCATTCAGAGAATCTATCTTGTCATGTATTTCAGTTTTATGTTCTTCTTACCTGTGTCCTCTGGATGACAGTGGTGGTCACTCTTGTCTGTTGACCACTGGTGTTATTTTTGTTTCTTCATTCTGAAAAGATTGCACAGTGCCTATAAATAATACTTGAGTTGAGTTACTTCTTTTCCAGATTTCAGGGTACTTTTTGAAAGTTTTACTTTTTTTAAAGTAGTTTGACAGGGAGATGTTCTTCAAGAGATAAGCCACTTTCTACTGAAGTTTTATGAGGTTTCTTCAACCTTAAATTCTAGGACAAGAAAAAAAATTCTGTACTTGTGGACATTTGAACAGCAAGACATCACCTAACATTTGCAAGTCCTGCTCTTTCTCTTGAGACTATCGCTGGGGCCTCCTCTGCTACCCTGAGTCTGTCATTCCCTTGGGCTTTTGGGGCCGCCAAAGGACAGTAGGGCATGCAGAATGCCATTCTTCACCCTTTCTGAGAGCCAGTGGTCACAAGTTTGTGCTCTGTCCCACACTTGCGCCATCCAGGTGGCATTTAAAATAGAATGGAGGGGAACCCAGTTATGTAAAAAGTCACCTCTGGTCTTCTGTTCTACCGTGGGAGTTAAGACCAGCTGGGGTGCTGCTGGTATCAGTTTCCAGTGCATAAGTCTCTGTGATCTGCAACAGAAATTCTTACAACAGGGCCCTTAGAAGTCTCGTCCTCTGATGGGCTGCCAGACGCAGAGTCCAAGGCATATCTGTGCGGGCAGACTTTTTGCGGAGTTTCCCAGGGCCTGAGAAAAAACTAACAGAAGGAATAGGCTTGCCTGGCTTTTCAACTGGTGATATACAACTGTCTGGGGTGGAAAGTGGGACTTTTTGCTGGCCAGCTACTTATCTGGTTCAGTTGCCAAAGCTGGTCAGAGATGGCCACAGTCACAGGCCCAGACCCTGGAGAGAGCTCCTTGAGTGAAATGAATACGTGTGAAATGTGGTTCTTCCCTTGCTACATCCTCTTCCCAACTAGTCCAAAACACCTTCTTCCCTGCTAGGAAAACAAGTACATGTGCCTTTTGTGAAATCAAGAATTCAAAGATGCTTCAGAAATCTATGCAAATTTGAATCCCGTGGTGCTGTTCTTGACAGCATTAGTGGAATTTGGGGTAGCTGAGTTCAGATGGTGAGATGCTACAGTATTTCCTCCCATTTCTTGAATGACTAATGGCATGGTCTTTAAAACATTTTATTGACCACTGGTTTTCTGCTACTGAAGTTTAGAAAACTTGAATAGCACAACTGAGCATCAAATTATATTGTATTAATCTATTATTTTGTCCTCCCTACAAATCACACAACCAAAAATTTAAAATAAGAAATGAAGCCTCTGCTTGTGGCTAAAGAGATAAACAATTTGAAATCTGTGGATTTATGTTTGGATTTCACCCTTGTTTTTATATCCCTCAAGTCTAAATGGGAAGCATAAAGCTTACTAATAACCATGGAGGAAGACTGCTTTACAGTAATTAATGTAAACCAGATTATAAAAGAGCTCCTTATGTCCATATTCCAGGATAATTCGACAAGATTTTAACATGTTATAATTTGACCATTTAAAAAGATTTCTTCAATTAACATAATTTATTTTCATTGAAATCCAGAAGCAGATGTGGACCTGAGGATGCAAGATGAAAATTTTAAAAAATATCCAAGTCTGTGACCCCCTGAGTATAGGCCCAGTCTGTGATTGGCGAGGGTTTCCCTCTTCTGCAATCCTTTAGCAAATGCAGTGTCCCCTTCCCCAATTCCCACCCCACCCCCACACAGCCACCTCCTTCTCCCTCTGGCCTTGAGTACCTCACCAAGAGATTCAGATCTGGAGGAGCACGCCTGCTGACTGTACAGATGAGAAAACTGAGGCACTAAGTGGAAACGAGTTGTGACAGTTATGAGCTGCTGAGTAGGACTCCACATAACGGGACACAGTACTCTTTGCCTGGCTTCTCCCAGCCCACAAAACACACACACACACACACACACACACACACACACACACACACACAGAACAAAGAGAGGAAAAATAGAAAGCACCCATGAAGAGTGCCGCCTGCCTCAGAGAGACCCACTTCAGGAAAGCCTCCTCAGACTTCCCCTCGGGAGTTTTGTTATGTTCATAAAACAGGACAACTTTTCCAACGGAGACAGCAGTGAAGGAACCATGAGACCCAGAGGAGAAGTTCCACCCACAGGCCTAGCGATGAGGGATTTGGTCAGGAAAGAAAAAGCAGTGGTTTTGATGAGGTTGCACTGCAGTGTGTGGATGGGGCAGGGCCTCTGAAGTAAGGCTGAGTCTTAGCTCTCCTGCTTACCAGCTGAAGTAACTAATTTCCTCATCTATAACATTGGCATCAGTCGCCGGGGCTAGAGTTGGAATTTTGTGAACGGAGAGAGAGGGAGAAAGATATGAGAGAGGTGGAGAGCACGAGGGAGTTGGACTTACACTAGACTCTAAGTGTATGGAGTTCATGGTATGACTCAAGCGGAAGTTTAACGGAATGAAAAGCCTACTTCTTTAGCAGAAGCCACTCTGAAAATTGGCTTCCTTTGCTTTAGAAGTAGAGAAGGAATGGATTCTCAGGTCCTACACCACTTAAAACAGGTACAGGACTTGGATTTGAAAATGTTTGACTCAGTGGTTCTAGACTCTAAGTGTACTTGGTTCCCTCAAAAGCTTTCGGACAGTGCTGTGTCCTGAGAATAATGAAGGAAAATTTCAAGTGACCCCTTCCTCTGCTTCCAAGACCAGATTAAATAATTTTCCTGTGTGCTCACAGCATACTGCACTCTCCCTGTGCATCACTGTGCCGTCCTTGCATGTTCACTTGTGCATCCTGCCAAGCAGACTATGAACTCTGCAACCATGGAACTCAACACTATTCTTTTTTTAATCCATAACAGAAGCTCAATTTGTATTCTTGAATGAAAGAAATTAAACAGCCACTTTAAAACATTTACCATCGTTGGCCTGAAAACATCCTAAGGGACTGTTGTTCTCCACATGCTCCCCCTAATCCCAAGATTACACCCCTCCAACTCCCCTTACAAGGAAGAAACTTCTCTAGTTCCCGCATTTAGGCCACTTAGGTATCTGCTCAGGATGTTCCCCACCATGTTAATCCACTCAATAAATTGTGCTTCAGAACAGGATCTCACAATTATACCATGGTCCCTCTTGGAGAAGCTCACAGAGTAAAGTGAACTTGGATGAAGGCTCCGATTTTCAGAGAGGCCACTAGCCATTAGCCAAAAATATTTCTGGATCAGTAACCATACCCTATCATCAACTTGACTTTATAAAAATTACAATGTGGCTTTAGGACCTGGTACATAGCGTACACTCACTAAATATTTGGATAAAGGAGTGAATGGACAGAATGGGAATTTCAGGGAGCTTCTATTGCTCTGGGCAGATATGGGGAACGTAAAGCAAATGTTAGAAAATCCTGTGCGTGAATGAACTGGCGCGGGGTACCTACTGATCTGATACGCCCACCTCAAGAGTTTCCTAGCATTCAAAAATCCTCGGGGGACAGGTGTGCTTTTCAGAAACATTTCTGGCTTCTCCATACGCGAAGCAGTGCTAATACCACAGCTAAACATCTGCGGTTGCATTGAGATCTCTCCACAAAACCTTGCATCCTACCAAACCCCAGCTAACTAATCCCGCAAAACCATCAGCTGCTGGAATATTTCCTGACTCTGGAGCACCTTTGGCCCACACAGTACTCTGCTAGCTTGTGGATGCTCCGTTACTAGTAAGATCCAGTGATTTCGCTTTAGACTTCTCTGCCTAAGGCGGGTGTGTACCCTGACAGGAGGGAGTTGGTCTGTATAAATTCCCACAGGGCTGGGCACACAGTCGGGGGTCTAAGCTGTTTGCTGGTGGATGGTTTTCAGTGTAACTCCACCCAAGATCATCTTCGGAGCCAATGCAGGCCTGGAAAAAAGAGTAGGAACATAATCCTCATCTATCCTGAAGCCTCCACAGGGACGCTTACTTCATTGGCCCCCAGTTTTGCTTGGGCAGACAGTGGCAAAGCCTGCAGGAAGTAAGACCAACGGGGGTAAAAAGAAAATCATGAATACAACTTAAGTACTGTAAATGACTGAAATCTCCCCTTCTCTAAAAACACATGCTTACTAAAGGACGATGAGTTTAAATCCGACAGCATCTTATCCACTCTGTAAAGGCTCCTCACACGGAGTCCTCCAGCAAGGGATTGGAAGGTCAAGTGGCTGGAAGTGTTTGCTACCAACTCTGACTCAAAAGATTATTCTCCTGAGGGATGGAGAGAAAAGAAGGGCGGGAGAGATTTTCCATCCACTGCAGAGACTGACCCAGACGAGGCTGAGTGGGAGTAGACCAGATGTCTCCCGTGAAATCCTGCGTTCTCCCAGGGTTGCTAAAACAGAGGTTCTCCCATCAGCCGTCGGGTGGAGTCAAGCCCGCCAGGACTTGCTCCAAGGAGGCTTTGACAGGAGGAAAGGTCATGACCCCACTCCGCGTCTGAACCGGCTGTGGAGGCGCGGACCCAGAGCGCCCCTTGTAGAACCCACTCTCAGCCAATGGGAGCCTGAGGTTTCGAGATGATGAGAAGCGGGTCCGCCGCTGGCCCAATCAGGCGCCGGGCGCGGCCGGAGGGAGGAGAGGAGAGAAGCCGGGGGCGATGGAGACGCAGAGACGTCAACAGAAGTTTCTCACCTTGGAGAGCTCGGGACACTCCGCATCTCCAGCACAGCTGCACCTCGCGCCGGGAAGGGGCCCCAGCTAGTCCTCCGGCCTCCTCACACCTCGGGCGGCCTGGGGGCTGCTGAGAGCCACTCTCACTGGTGGTCCTTTTATGTTTTCTACAATCAGCAAGAGGGCGAGGGACAGCTTGGTGCCGGGGCGCTGGCCGGGCCGGCCGGGCTGGGGACTCCATGCGAGGCCATGGACAGAGCGCTGCTCCCGGCCCTGCCCCGCCTGTGCGCGCTGTGCGCGGCCCTGCTCGCGCTGTTCCCCTGCGGGGCGCACGGCAACTGGATGTGAGTACGCGGTCCGCGGGCGCGGGGGTCTGTGCACGAGGGGCGCCGGCCCGGGGCGCGCTGGGGCGGGCGGGGGCGGAGCCCCTCGGGGGCCCTGACTCTCGGGGGCACCTGGGGGGCGAGCGGCCGGCGCTCACGCGGGGCGGCCTGTGTCACAGGTGGCTGGGCGTCGCCTCCCTCGGGGCTCCGGAGAAGCTGGGCTGCGCCGACTCGCCGCTGAACAGCCGCCAGAAGGAGCTGTGCAGGAGGAAGCCCTACCTGCTGCCCAGCATCCGCGAGGGCGCGCGGCTGGGCATCCAGGAGTGCCGCAGCCAGTTCCGGCACGAGCGCTGGAACTGCGCGGCCGGGCCCGGCGCCGCGCTGCGCCCCGGCTCGCTCTTCGGCTACGAGCTGAGCAGCGGTGAGTGGGGCCCGGGCCGGCGGGGA